GATCAAGAATATATATACTTTGTGGGGTCTGCCACGCCTCCTTCTGCCTGTTACACACTTTTAACAAAACCATTATACCCTGATTTCCCAATTTCAATGGGTTCAGGGTATAAAAAGAAAATAAAATTCCTAAAGCAAAGACTCGTGCTATGGTAACCATATAAGCTAGATGCCTTTTGTGTGCTCTAAAAATTCGATTGTGAAAGTGCATTTGAAACAAAAGTTATTCGACAATTAATTTCCCATCATAAAGCCCATAAAAGCAGCCCAAGCACAGCCGCTGAGTAAACTGCGCAGCAAGCAGAGCGCGTGCTCATATACCATGTATTGTATATATATGTATGTATTTTTGTGCGTGTGAGTGCGCACATGTTTTTAATATTTATGCCGTAGTTTGATTAGCTCTGCCCAGTGTTCATGGTATCTTCTAGTCGGGCACTCCCTTCTAAAGGAGCCTTTCTTGGTTTTAGCCGAATTTGCAAATAATACACGCTTTTGGCATCCGCATTAAAAAAATTTGAATTATTTTTGTTTTAACGTTTCATACATCATACAAAATGGAAGATCTACACATCAAGAATCAAGTAACTCATAATGTCCCAAATCCACCGATGGGCCAGTAACTGCTAACATTAATTCATAAATCGAACTGTAGGACAGGTTTGATCCACCTTGATTCCAGCTCAAAATCACTATATTATTTTTTATGCTTGTGGTAAACCACGCCCCCATTAGTTACATAGCTAAAGACCTTACATTCACATTTTTTCTAGCTCTAGCCCCACTGGCTGTATCTTTATAATCTTAAAACTACATCAGGCCAATATACCATGTGTATTAGGTTAAAAAATTTGTAATTCATAATGATATGATATATTTGTACAATTTACGAACTATGGAGGCAACTGTAGAATCATCGGGCATCATCCTCTTAGGGCATCATTATTATTGGCTACAGCCTGCACATCAGGCTTAAGTAATAAAACTTCGTTTCTTCTTCGTTTCTCTTTCTTTCTCAATAAAACACTTAAGTCTACATTTGTTACAGGATTGATTTGACAAAAAGGGGGAAAACCATGTTGCTTAAACATAGAACCAATTCGCGCATACAAACTCTATAAAAAAAAAAAAAAACTATATATAATTCTATATATATATATACCAGGAAATTTGTTTGCTAACCGAATTACAAATGCTTCGATAAAAAAAAAAATTTCATGTTTTGAATCGTTTTGGATGTTTTTCCTTTTGTGGATTCGAATCAATTGCCGAATTGTTAGCCAAAATGTAAATAGTCTCAATGACGAATTAACGAAAGCAACATGTTAAATTTATGAAAATTATGAAAATGTGGGCCCCTTTCATTGCGTATGCGTTGTTATCACTATTTTGATCTGTGGATAAACCTCTGGCTTAGCGTCCGAGGTGATTAACTGCACCATCCGTTGCTGTAGCTCATCCTGGCTAGCCTGCGTCCCGGGCGGTATCATCCAAATAGTATCTACAAGGAACAAGTGGATAATTTATACATTAATTTAAATTTAGATTTAAATATATATAAGAAAGCCGCTTCCGATTCTAAGCTGCAGTTGCAAATGGGAATTCCCATTGCCAAATTGTGCACCACTCACCGCCAAAGTACCAACCGTTGGGCGTACACAAGCGCCACATGATGGCCGGCTGAGTGGGCATCAGGTCAGCCAATATATCACAAGTTTCTCCGGGACGCAGGGACGGCACATTGATGCGTTGCGTCTGTATCGGTGATGTTAAATAACAGCCATTGGGCCAGCGTTCGGTGCCGTCGTTCTGCAGCTGGAAGGCCTGCTGCAGCGCGTTCACATGCTGGCCCTGCACAATCTTCATCGAGGGCAATGATTGCAGACTACAAAAGTCCAGGTAGCAACCGACGGCAGTTTGCAAGTTCCTGAGCAAATGGGAAATGAAATGAGCGTAAGTTCAGCTTTAAGAGCTTCGACTAGATTAAATTGACACGAACTTACCAGTTACTCATTTCCAAATAGAAACGAGCCGAGTCGCGATTCATTTGATTGTTCATGAGGCTCTGGAACTGACTGATCAGATCCTCGTGATCTGTGGTGCCCATGCAGCTGAATTGCTGCAGCAGCAGAGAGTCGATATCATAGTCATTTGTTGGCAGAGACGACCCGAGGCCCTTGATTTGCGTTGCTTGTGCGGGTGATGGTAATGCGACTGACGAGACTGGTGCCACCGACGAGGACAGAACGACGCCCATCCCGGGCGGTGCCGGCAATGGTATTGCATTGTTACTAGTGTCCATCATGGGATTTGTTGTTGTTGTTGTGTTTGTGGTGATGCCAAACAGCGGTTCGCATTGCATATCTTGCAGCAATTGCTGCTCCTGCTGCTGATGCTGTTGTTGTTGTTGCTGCTGCTGCTGCTGCTGATGCAGATGCAGCTGCTGTTGTTGCTGCTGGTGAATAAAATTATGCTGCTGCAGGGGTCCCTGCTGTAGCGGTGTCTCAGTTGTGCTTTGTGACTCGTAGGTTTCCTCGACGTCCATAGCTGCTGTGTGTTCTATGGGTTTACAATACTTCGTTCTCAAGTATCCCGTCAAATCTGCAAATCAAAATGTAAAGTGCGTTGTAAGCATATCGTTTTGTTGTTGTTCTGGCAGGGCGCTACAATGACAGAGAGAGACAATGGAGCCTGACATATATTTACCTTCTAGTAGCGTTGTGATCCAGCACGGTATTCCAGTTAGCGCACTCTATTTAATTATAGATTTAACAGCCTTATGCACATTAATGTGCTCCGCTCTAATGTAGTTTCGTTTTTACATAAATATGGACTAAAACATTAAATACGGCTACAATGCAACAAAATATGCAATATGACCGTTTGTGCGTTTTATGCAAAATACCCATCGAATGCTTCAATAATATGATTTAGATGATTTCATAAATACTGAAGCTATGCTACTTAAAATTGTTAGATGAAACACACCTGATTTATAAACTCCTGCTCGGACGTTTTTCTTGCACAGAATGTTGACAAATTAACTCACATGAATAATATTTGACAATTGGCACACAGTGTGAAGCTAGCTACAGCTGATAACATGTGGAGCACAAATGAAATAACAATCATGTAAATTGAACGTTGAATTTTAACAGCACTGTGCGTATTACATTTGTGCAGCTACTACACCTAAAGCAATTATTTTTACAGGACATATATTAAATTAACTATTTTCTTTTTTAGCGATGTAATCATTATTTGTCTCATCTGCGCTCCAAGGCTTAGCAGTCCGGTGGTAGTCTGCCAGCTTGTCCATATATTTTTCTACAGCTGACCTAACGAAAATAGAACACTTAACAGAACGTTCAAAACAAAATGTTAAAGGTGGAGTAAAAATGTAAATAGCAGAGCGCTATTCATGGCCTCCGTGTGTAACAGTGTGACCGCCTCCCATGGACAACAACTTAAAGTGCAGGCTTAGGGAACAATGTGTGGAACATAAAATTTTGTTTATTTAATTAACTATCTACTGCCTGCAGCTCGAACAGGCAGATATTGCTCATAATTTGAACCCACTACCTCTCGGACATTTTCGTAGCCCATCTCAGCGATACAAATTGAGAGCTCCGACTTGATGCGCTCCACCAGCTCGGGCCCCTCATACACAAAAGCCGTATAGATTTGTACATAGGAGGCGCCCGCCTCGATCTTCTCATACGCATCGTGGCCAGACGAGACGCCGCCAACGCCAATGATGGGTACACTGTTATTGGTCAACTGATACATTTGAGCGATCATGATCGTCGAGCGCTGCCGCAGCGGCTCCCCGCTGAGCGCTCCCTTTTCCCTGGACCACCTGGAGCCGCTGATACTGTTATGAAGCATCGTCGCATTTGCGACGATCAGGCCGTCCACCTGACACGTGCTCATGCTGATGACACTGGCAACGTCCTTCATCTCGTCAAGAGTCATGTCGGGTGACAGCTTCAGCAGAATGGGCACCTTCCCATACCTGTTGGGACGCAGCTGTGCGCGCGCCGTGTTCACAGCCTCGAGAAGCTCGATGAGCTGCTTCTTGCTGCTGGTGCTGTGCCGCTTTCCTTTCGCATTGCTGTAGTTGACAACGAGGTAGTCAGCCACTGGCCCGAAGGTTTTCACACCGGACATGTAGTCGCTGATAGGCGTCTTGGAGGAGAAATTGTGCTCCAAATTGACGCCCACAACGGCGTCGAATCCGTCCGTTTCGCGCAATCTGCGCAGTCGCTGGACAACAGCCTGATGGCCATCGCTATCGATGCTATTCCGGCTGATAATTGCCCGATCATCGCTCAAACGAAAGACACGGGGCCTGGGACTAGCCTTCTGGGCTAATGGTGTGACGCTGCCAATTTCGATGAAGCCGAACCCAAGATCCTTCAGTCCGTGCACTGCCTCGCCGTTCCTATCGAACCCGGCGGCCAGTCCAATGGGATTGGTTATGTGCCGCCCAAAGAACGAGCTGTTCAGATTAACGTTGTCCTTATACTTCGAGGCGGGGAGCAGGCGATACTTGCACGCCAGTAGGGCCAAATTGCTGCTCGTCCTGGCGGGCAGCAGCCGCACCGCGGGCGAGATCAGCGCCCGGATGAGGTTCTCCTGGTGCTCATACGCGGTCAGACCGATATACAATGAGATGATGCCGGCCGTCGCTACGCGCAGGAAACGGAAGCGACCCTTTTGCAAAGTTAAAGGCAAAAGATCTCAGTGGAAGGCTGGCACCGGAGCGCGGCAACTACTGAACTCACCCTTGGATGTGATTGAGGCATCTCTGCGATTTTAATAGAGCAGCTTCGCTGTTTGCTATTGTGGTTGGTTGATCGGTGTAGTTCTCTAAATTTTATCTATAGATTGGCCTATTCATATTCATTAACTATTTTCTGTATATTTTCAACTTGAATTACGTTTTGACAAACGAATCAAATGCAACTATAAGGCTAACAAAGATTTACGTATTCAGAGCTCAAGTCTTTATTTAGGCCCGAAGACTGCGTGAGGATGCCCAGATAGCTGGTATGCTTCAAAAAGAGGAGTCTGAGAGTTACATTCAACTTTAATGTTAGTTTATTGTGTATAATTTAAATATATATTATGTATATAAATAATGCAAAAACGAGGTGTTTATTTATGCGTTTATGTCGTCCGCGCGTAATTTTGAATTTTGTTTTACAGCACTCGTAAATACCACTTCTTTGGTCAGTGTAAATACCAAATCCTTGTACAATTGCAATTATGCTCATTGTCGCAATATATCGATTTTCCATTACCGGCTATCGATTCGCAATTCTGTATTATTGGTATTATGCAGCACTAGTATCATTTTGCTATCAAATTTAAATCAAACCCATAAACATAAATTGATGTGAAAGAAAAAGGGAGAAAAGGAAGAGAGTGTGAGGCGGAGAAAGAGGGAGACAGATAGAGTCAGACATAGAGCCATTCAGAATTCAAGGGCTGCTGGAATCCAATATTTGTGCCCTGCCGCCTGTCAAGAATAGACAGCTTTGCTATAACGTACGAGCTGATCAGACTAAACAGGCATAATTTAAAATTTTTGGAAGCGTACATACAACAAAATTTCATCTGGTTATACTTTTTCTCTTCCCTCCAAAGCACAATCTATAACTCTGAGGCTTCCTAATACCCTCCTATCCCACCCACTCACATAGGTAAAATTCTGAGAAATGTTGAAATTACACGATCTGTATGGCCAATCGTTTGCTCACGAGTTTCAGGTAAGTGCGCACTCACAGCACTTTTACTGCGCTCACTTGCTAATGAGAACGACAAATACTATCGTTGGCCTTCAGTTCACCAATCCGGACTCCATCAAGAATGCGGTCAAGCGCTACAATCAGCAGCGCGCTGCCGAACGGGACGAAATCAAGAAGGACCGAGAGGTGCCTAAGGTGGCCAAACCGCGCTTCTGCAAGATGCGGAACACGGGGCGCGATGTGCTCAGCATGGTAACATCGCGCGACCAGGATGTGGAGACGCAGATCTCATTGCACATCCTCCCCGACACGCCGCACAGCAGCGGCAGCAGCATGAATATAGTCGCCAATAGCAAAAGTAACGGTCTAAATTTGATGCTGCCCGTGAAACGTTTGGCTGGCGGAGCAGATGCCATTGCCACGCCTACCAACAGCGGCCGAGCCAAGATGCGCATGCGCAAAACGAAGCGTGTGGCAGCCAAACAGCAGCCGAAACTAATAGATGAGTCCGATTCCTATGCCGCCCACATTGAGGGACTGCATCGACAGGTGTGCGCCGAACTGCAGTCCATGGGCCAGGCGCAGGAGCAGGCGCAGGCGGATCAAACCAAGCGCAAGTCGAAAACTCGGCGCATGCAGCAGCAGCAACAGCAACTGCAGTCACAGCTACATCCACCGCAGCATCAGTTGCACCATCAGCAGCAGCTGCTGCAATATCATGCACAGCCGCAGCAGCAGTCGAAGATTGCATCCCATCAGAGCCCACGCAAGCGCAATCAAAATCCGCGGAAGCGAATGCACCCCGATAACGCGTCCACATACTCCGAGCCCGACATGATACTGCAGCGCCTGAAGCAGGTGCTGACTGAGGAGCAGATGAACACATCGCATAAGGCATCCTACCAGGCCCACTGGACGGATGGCATGCCCCAGTCCGGCCATGGCAATGCGTACGATCCACTGAATGGCGCCAATTCCGATGCCTGCCTGTACATGAAGCAGCGACAATCTGAGGATTCCGAGCCACAGGAAGACAGCGATCTGGAGCAGGAGTACGCCGACCGCCCCGACTACATGCGCTACACACAGCGCGTGCCGCACAATCACAGTGACCCGGAGGATCAGCAGGAGCAGCAGGGCTGCTTCGTTGAGCTGGATCCGCATCCCAACTGGATTAGTTTGCAGCGCAGCCTGAAGCCGATGCTCTACACGTCCCAGCGATCCGACACGGACAGCAGCACGCTCTGCGACCAGAATGAAGCGCGTCAGCTGTCCGACAGTGTCAAGCCGACTAGGGCCAAGGGCGAGACGTTCCCCACCGTCTCGGGCAGATCCCCGACCAGGCAACGTCAACGTAGCCGGCAGCAATCACCATCGATCAAGTCCAAGTCGAAGCCCCGTAGTCCGAAAGGGACGCGGCACGCGAAGCGCAAGGCGCCCCAGCGGCAGGAAGTGACTGCACCACGGCAGCCAGGAGGCGGCGAAAGGGGTTCGAGTATACTAACGGCGCCGCTGAAGCCCTCCGAGCAGCCCCACTTGGATCTGTCGATGCCAACTCTGGCGCCAAAGCGGCGCAAGGCGCGCGCCATCATCTGCACCCGATCGCTGGAGAATCTGAAATTCCAAAAGATGTCCATCTACAACAAGATCTCGCTGACACAGGAGCGCATCATATCGGCCCTGGACAAGCTGCAGTGCAGCCTGCTGCAGCTGCCCCTGATCCACAACAGCAGCCAGGAGAAACAGCGACGCGAGCGGAACGCATTCAATTTCTGTGTGCGATTCTCTCGCAACTTTCTCTATCCGCTGCGTGGCATGATCGAGGATGTGCGGTCCACGCCGGTGGCCAGCTTCAATAGCGCCGCCTCGAACGACGCCAGCCAGCGGGTGGTGTGCGTCTACGGGCTGATGCACCACTCGATCGGCCGGTATCAGCGGCAGGTGCGCTACTTCCTGCTGGACAAGGTGCCGCAGAAGCTGAGCGCGCTCATCGAGATGATGTACACGCTGACGAACGTCTGCCTGGAAAAGGGTGTGCTCGATCGTCAGGATCCGGTGGTGGAGTGCCTGCAACAGCGCTGCACCAGCTTCCTCACGTTCATCGAGGACATGCAGGAGCAGCGCTTCCAGCTGGCGCGCGAATCCTACAGACGTCTCCAACGGCGTGCTTATGGCGGTGGACATGGCCATGGACACGGACATGGATACGGACATGCGCATGGATATATACATGGTCATGGACATGGACATGGACACGGACATGGACATGGACACGGACACAGACATGGACACGGACACGGACACGGACATGGACACGGACATGGACATGGCCATGGACGCGGATATGGTGGGCCTCGCCAGGACATGCACGAGCGATACGATCTGAAAATGTGTCTCAACGATTTAAAACTATACGAACCGCGTCTGGTGCCCAAGGAACGCACCGACAAGCGTCGCCCTCGCATCTGGCTGCGCAAGCCCAAGATGCTTGCCGAATCGCCCAATGCCCCAATCATCCCTAGCATAATGCTAAGCCAGGGATCCGAGGTGCCGCCCGAACAGCCCAGCGAATACGTGCCAACCCACATCGAGTGCGTCCAGTGTGGCGACAATCGCGGCGAGCCAAGCAGCGAACCCGAGCAACCCGAGCAGCCCGGACAGACCGAACAGCAGGTAAAACCCGAACAGCCCGAGCAGTCGGACGAGCATAACCGTCAGCTCTCGAATATATTGGCACTGCTGCAGCAGCCCGGCCGGGAGAAGCGGGAGCTGCATCAGCAGCTGCTCGAGGCCATGGAGCATGTGACCAAGTCGCAGGTGCGCGAGGTGCTGGACCCTCTGGTACGCTCCCTGGGCAACATGTTGGATAAGAAGGTAACTATAACCCAGTCGAAATGAAACGCTCCATACATATTTAACCAACCCCACCGTGCACCCACTCGACTGTATAAACTTTCCACCTCCACTTCACCAAGCATACAGATGAAGCCCAATGAGGAATAGTCGCTGGCAGGAACCAAAGACTCAATTCAATAAAATTGCACTTTTCGTTTTCGGTGAACCAAATTGTAAAGTAGTTTATTAGAGTGCATATGCAAGCGTATGTAAATGTTTCAAATCGCTGTGGGATCAATAAAGCGTATCGTTTTCATAAATACACCAACTACCGCGCCCACTATGTTAAGCTGGCGCATCGGATGAGCGAGATACATGACATCTTGTAATTCTCTATATCCCAAAAGGCGGTCATAGACAATGGATCGTATCTCTGTATACGAATTTATTGGGCGTCTTTATACAGAGGATGATCATTGTAATTGCCAGTCTAGAAGAGGCGACAATTTCTCAGTGACATGTAGCTATATAGACATCCGATAGTGAAGTATACTCTCGGACGTCTATATAGTTATAGGCATAATAGATATGAGAACCATTTATATGCATATAATCAGTTTCCTCTGGAGAACAACAAAAATATATATTGTGCCAGGGGTCTTCAGATGGCCGATAGTTGGGTGAACTAGGATCTATCGGACCTTTGTATGGCTATAGACTTAACAAATTCGATCTTTAATCAAATGAGCAGTATTCGTATGTATGTATGTAATCCCTTTCCTCCAGAAATCTTCTGACGTCCGACACTTGGGTGTGCTAGGATGTATCGGAAGTGTATATGACTATAGGAATTACAAATTTAGCCTTCATTGTTCATGAGCAATAATGGATAATATACTAGCTAAATCTCAGCACACTTAAGAAAGAGAGAGCCACAGTTCCGTAGAAAGAGAAAGTAAATGCTGTGCTGCAAGATTAATTGTCATATATTTCTTTTCATATAATAGCTTCAGTATAATAATACAATTTAGAAAGAGATAACATGTGAGATGAAAAATACGGCGAGACAGAGAGGGAGAGAGCGTTAGAATATAATATATAAACAGTGTGTGAGAGGGAAAGATAGATAGAGATAGAGTGTTACAGGCAACATTCTGTGAGCTAATCAAATGTGTGTGTGTGTATTTTAGCAACTATGTAAACAATGATATATAGTAGAATATGTTTTTCTCGAATATAAATATATACCGTTACTTCCCCGCCCGTACTACTCGAGAGCCGTGACGAACTCTTGACAGTTCTGGCAGCTGTTCTTCTCTAAATGCATTTATCGTGTCAAATGCAATTTATAAATAGTAAAAAAAAAATAGAAAAAGATATATGTACCATATATCTTTATCTCAGCAAAAAGCATTTGCTGGAGTAGCTCTACCAAGTGACGTATGTATGTGTGTGTGTGTGTGTGTGTGTGTGTGTGTGTGTGGAAGAGTGGCTTAGCACTTTTTATACCCTTTGTTAGCTTTTGGACCTTTGAACTTCTTCATAGTGAATTCTGAGGAATTTCGTTAGGTTTTAACTCTTTGTTCAACAACTGTGAATACTACAAATACCATAAACATCTATAATATACAGCGAAACATATATTAATGTTATGCCTCCAGGCCCACCCGGCCACCCGCTTGGCCATCTCCTAGTCCGAGCAGGCCGTGCACAGCGGCTTGTTGTCCTCCACGGCGAACGTGCTCGCCGTAATGGGCTTCAGGCACTTCTGCAATCAAAATAAGAGAGAGAGAGAGAGAGAGAAAGAGAGATATATATAATACACATTTGACGGCATTGAATCCATTGTGCTGCACTCACCTTGCACTTGAAGCAATCCCGATGCCACTTGGCATTGAGCGCCACAATCGCATTCTCCGTTATCGGCTGGCTGCAGTCGGCACAGCGCGCCGCGAACAGCTGCTCGAAGTCGATGCGGCAGTAGGGCCGGCCGTCCCGCTCATAGAACGAGGTGCCTACCAATGGCTTCTTGCATGGACCGGCGCACACGAAGCACTCCTCGTGCCACGACTGCTCCATGGCCTTGATGGTGCGCTGTCAGCAAACGAAAAGCGTATCTTCAAAATTAATATTTCAAAATCATCAAATCTATATATATATATGTATGTATATGTATATACATTATATGCATAATCATAGACAATCAATCGCTCACACTCAGCCCCCACTCGAGTGGCCTTGATGGCGCTAATTTGGCGGAACGACAGTGTCGCATTCTTAATGCACTTTAAGCAATGCTTGGCTAATAGTAGTAAATGTAAATGTAAGTAGTAAATAATATTAAAAAAACAAATGGAGAACATAACAAAAACGAGATTGAAAAAAATTAAAAAAAAAAAAAAAAAAAAAAAACTAAATTCATTTTTACAATTTTTTTATATACAAACAAATAATAATTTAAAAAAATATTAAATAATAAAAATAAAATAAATACGATTACAAAATCATTTTTAAAAAAAAAAAAAAATAATAATAATAAACTAAACTAAAATAACGTAATTAAAACAAATACAAAAAAATTAATATGTAAAAAAAAAAAAAATAACAAAGAACTGATAAACGAATTTAAATTAAAATTTTCATGAATTTTTTTTTTATATTATTTCAATTTTTTTTATTATTTCTCATTAAATAAAGCACAAAAAATTAAGGTTTATACGAATACACAAGCCTTAAGTAAAATTCAAAATAAAATTAAAATCGCAATTCGAAAACAATTAAAAATACTTAAATTAAAAAGCCGTTCTATGAAAAATAAAAATAAAATAAAATCAACAGAAGTAATTTTAAAAACTTTAAGCCGAAGCTAAACGAAGTAGAAAACAAACTAAAAATGCATTAGTGCTCATATTTTAACTTCTACTGTGCTTAGGGAAATTCAGGTTGAGTAACACCAACCAGGCTCATTAGCGATATCAAAACAGACAAAGAAAATCTATTGCACACATTCAGGGGCAATAGTCCTATGCACAAAGTATGACAATGAATGTCTGTATTTATGTATATCTATCTAACACGGGCTATATATTTGAGCAGCTGTATCCTCTAGAGTCGAAAACTGTGCGATTCCTTATATCCCAAGCGCGTGTTGATAAGATATGATAATAATGTATGTATATCAATGAAGTATTTGAATGGCATTTCAATAGTTCAATCACTATATCATACCGTTCCCCAGAACGACTTTAGAGGCATACTTTGAATTCTGCATACTGTAACTAACAGATTGACTATTCAAAATTCGCATATACATGTGTATCTATTATCTTCGGCGAAGAACAAACGAAATCTCATTTGTCGTCAAATATATACTCGGATATATAATTTGATATTGTGAGCTAAAATTGTTTTTATAATGCGAGATAATGATGTGCTAAAGTGTATTTATATGCGAGTCTACATCTGTTTGATATTTGACTTTTGATCTATGCGCCTGTCTTTGTCTCCGTCTCCGTCTCCGTATCCGTCTCTGTCTCAGTCTCCGTGATTATACTTGTGTCAATTGATGCGCCGTACCCAAAGAGCGGGATAAACTGGCTGTGCGATCTAAGTGTATAAATAGCTGTCGTGCACTGAGTACTATATACGAGGCATTATACCCATAGCTAAACGCATCTGCATCTGCACACATGACGACTAAAATATAATCAGGTTTCGTATGCATTACACAACAGCTTTATAGACTAGATGAACAAATGTTGACAGTATTCATAAAGAGACCGAGTTTATGGCTAACAGACGAGGGCGATGATGTCAATGGTGTTGCCTATGAGTCGATCAAGGTATACACATATGTACATATATGCATGGGGAGTGGGTGGATGGGTGCATGCTTACCTCCAGAATGGGCTTCTTGCAGCCGAAGCAGGTGCCCGAGTAGTTGCTCACGAAGCAGTCGGAGCACACCGGCTCTCCGTTCTGTATGTTGAATGTGGCCTCGGTGATGGGCTTGAGGCAGTCCTTGCAGGCGAAGTGCTCCGGATGCCAGGTCTTGCCCAGAGCCGTAATGATGCGCTGCTGTATGACCTCATTGCACTTGTGACAGATCGTCTCCGAGTCCGACTGCGTGAATATTCAGATAACAATACGATTTGCACTTAATTAAAATGAAAATCACGTCGGCAATTCGTTCAAATATTTCATAATTTCATTTTTCCCACTTTATTCTGTAAGAACAAAGTGAGTGGAATGAATGGATGACTAAATGTGAGAGAATGAATGGTCTTATAGACTATATTATATATATGTATGTGCACTTACATATGTATGTGTACATTGCCCAAAGGGGCATGATATTATGCCTTGAGTTCATAAACCGCAACAACAACAAAAACATTGAATTTGAGTAACTCAAAGCGCTGACCACAAAACACATTTCTGTTTTTGTTTTTGTTTTTGTTTTAATAACAATAACAATAACAATCAAATGATGAGCATCAGCGCTTTAGTATTTTGATTGCATATGCTTATTATATAGCCATAATTGTGTTTATCCAGTACATATGTATACACATACATACATATATAATAAGTATGTATATACATGTGATGCTAAATAGATAACCAAATGGAAGCTTCGACATTTTCTGTTCATTAATTAAACATCAAAGGTAATCAAGTCTTATAATTATTTGTGTAATTTATATGTATAAAACTATAGTATTTATAACAACAACAAAAACACGCTCATAACAGGAAATCTAGTATTTTCATATACTAGATTTTCATCTACAGTAAAGCAAGCGAGAATATTGCATTCGTTCTCATCATCCAAAATAGTTGAAATTATTTCTAGCAAATCGTCAAATTAGATTAAGCTGACAAATTTTGATATTCTAGCACCATACAGTGTTTTCCGATTGGATACGTTTCCCAAGGGCGTGGAAGAGGAGAAGTCGGCAGCTGAGGACGCTCTAGGAAAGAGATAGCATTTATTTTATGTCAGAGAGGAGGCCAACAATATTTGTCAGCTATTTGCCACGCCCTCTATAAGCTCATATATATGTATATTGTAAATTGTAAGGTCTGGTCTGATGCCACGCCCATCATGGTCACATACATATATATATCAGGATCAGCTAGAATATGACGTTATATAACTCTCTCAAAATGTTGTTCAAGGCTCTACTCTGCTGTATCTGGGCGTAAAGCAAGTCCATCGAAGCGCCAATCTAATATTCTCTTTTCACTACGTGAACAGGCATGTGAAATATGTTCAAATGTTTCAATAAATAAAGATAAATTATGCAAAAATTAAATATTTAATAT